TAATTGCATCCTCACAAGGTCATTACATTATCAACACAAACAAAATATAAGAGTTTCCATGCCCATTCATCAAAGCAAAAGGGTGAAAATCAGAATCATGGCCACAATACTTTTTTTAAGCAAATTGGGCAAGTTTTGTCTGTGGTAATCGATTACCACTTTGCTAGGAAAAATGAAGTAATCGATTACCACATGTAAATGGGAATATTTTGCTGCATTTTCATGACAACAACTTTTCCACTACTTCTTTGGGGTTTACTTGGTTCTACCATTATGTGGAATATTCTAGACATTGCAGGACCTTTTAAGACACTTCAAGGCATTTATTCTAATACATCACTTTGAATCAAGACTACCATGTAACTTCATTTCCAAGCATGAGGACCATTTGATTTGGACTTGCATTGGGATTACTCCACCGAGTTAACAAATAACTAACTGAGTCAATTTCCGACTCAGTGAGTTAAGTGTAACTAACTTCAAAGCTAGTGTCAAAGCAAACTACAAAGCAAATTTCAAACCTAGCCACTCCTAAGCTAGCTTCTATATAAAGAAATCCTCACCATTTCACAAGGGACCTTCAACCATTCTCACAATTCTTCACTTTTCACTCTCTCATTTCTCTCAATTCTCTCTGCATTTTCTGCAATTTCTTCACATTCATCTTCATCTTCTTCCCAAAACCACACTAGAGCTTAACTCTCACCATTCAAGAGTAGCAAATTTCACATTGAAATTGCTTTTCTCTTGAGCTTAAACCTTCATCACGTTGCATTTCTTCTTGGATCTCTGTAATTACAGTAACTTCTACTACAATTCAAGTGATCAGTTCAATATTTTCGGTGTAAATTTGATTTCGGAGCTTTTATCGCGTTTCGATCAATTTCGCTACGATTTGATATCAAGCTTGATATTCTCTGATTTTCTTGTCTTATTCTCACTACACTTTATTCACAATAATCACCAAGGCAATTCTCCGTCAGGTAATTGATTACCATTGTGACAGAAGGCAATTTTTGTGCTTTTTCGAGTTTGTTTGATATTATTTCCTCATTTAACTTCTATGGATTGATATGCTTGATATTTGTGGATATTTTATGAGCTGTTCAACTTCTGTTTGAAGCATGTATGCAAACTTTCGATGCACGATTTGTCAATTCTTGGAATTGTTTACATATTTTAACATTGTATGATCATGTTGATTCTTGCACATTTTGCTTACAAGATGACATGATTTATGGTGCATGCTAATTGACATTTGGTACTGCATTGCAATTTCATTCTTGATCATATTAAGTTTGTTCTTCATTAAGCAAGTTTAATATTGTATAATCAATAATCCGCATGTTTGCTTTGACGATCTTTTGTTTCGCTTGAAATATTGTTGGCTTGTTCTTTCCTTTTTGATTAATTGATCGAAACCTTGTTTCGATTAGTTGATATTCCCTCTTTCTTCTCTTTAGGATCTTTTAGAGTCTTATTCTCTCGATCCCCTGCTGAGTCAGAGGTCTACACAACACATTGGAGCAATGTACAACTTATGTCGTTTCTCTGTCGGTTTCATCTTCCACACTATACTTTGGGTTCTAGAAAAGGAGTGAGGATGAAGTATATCCTACCCTCATTCTAACTATTTCTGGTCAGGGGTGCTTGACCCTGAACTTAGAATAGTCACCTCTATATCCGAATTGTGGTGTCTCCTGAGTTTGATCCTTGATCAGTCACTCCTTTCAATCCTTCCTTTGATCAATCACTGTTTCCTTGGTTCAAGATCATTGTTTCTTCCTTGGGTTAATCACCTCCTCTTGGTTAATCACCCATTCTCTGGTTGATTATAGTCTGCCTGCTAAAATCAATTCTCTTCTTCCCCAGCGAAGTCGCAATCCTTTTTCTTTGATTAATCACAGTCTTTCAGTTAAACACTGAATCTCTGGCGAAGTTCGCAACCTTCTCTTGGTTCTATCTTCCTTTTTGTTGGGTTAATCATTGCTTGTCAGTTAAAACACCAAATTGCTCTTTTTCTCAATTAACCACAGTTTGTATGTAAACATACTGAGCTTCTCTTTGGTTAATCACCTTCTCTTGGTTAATCACTCGTTTTTTGGTTGATCACAATCTGCCTGTTAAAATCAACTTTCCTTGGGTCAATCACCTTCTCTTAGTTAATCTCTCATTCCTCAGTTAACCATAATCTGTCTGTTAACATACTGAGCTTTTCTCGAGTTAATCATCGTCTCTTAGTTAATCACTCATTCTTTTGGTTAATCACAGTCCTTCTGTTAAAACCAGTATCCCCAGCAGTTAGCAACCTTTCTTTGGTTCAAACACTCGCACTTTTGGGTTAGTAACACTCTTTTGGTTCAAATACTCTTTCTTCGGTCAAGTACTGCTTGTTTCGTTCGTGTACTGAACTCCTTTTGGGTCACAACCTTTGCTTGCTTCCACACCCGTCCATTGGGTCACAACCTTTGCTTGGTTCTACACTCGTCCTTTAGGTCATAACCTTCGCTTGGTTCCACACCCATTCTTTCGATTAATCATTGTTTATCAGTTAATATACCGAAATTCCCTCATAGTTAAACACCGTCTCTCGGTTCAATGCTCCCTTTCTGGTTCATCTTATTCCATCTATTGACACCAACTCTTTTCCCCCACATAATCATAATCTTCTTTTCCTTCGGTTAATCACTGCTTGCAATTTAATGCACCGAATATTCGGTGTCTGTTACTTTGTCTCAATTCAATTCTTTTGCTCCTTTATTCTCCTGATTTCGACATCATTTCTTTGTTTTTTCTTTAGTGGAGTCATCACCGTTACCTTTGGCCTTCTCCACTAGAATCTTTCTAATTTCCTTCGCTCTTGGTTTTGACACCATTCTTCTGTACTCCTCAGCTGAGTCTTTCTACCCCTTTCGCTCTTGGTTTTGACATCACTTCCTCTTCCTTTTCTTTCTCCGTCTTTGCCCCGAACTACGTAGGCTCTGATTTCCTCATTGCACTGTGAGGATACGTAGGCACGAGATCGCGAGATCTTGGCGAGCTACTCTCTACCTTCTTTCACCTTCTCCTTTCTCTTTCCCTGGTTCTCTGAACTACGGAGCTCTGAATTCCTCATTGCACTATGAGGATACGTAGGCACGAGAGCCCTAATCCTCCACGAGCACTTCTTTCTCTCTTTCTTTCCTTCATTTTCTCTTTTCCCTTTCCTTTTTAGCTAGTAGCCTTTAGATATATAACCCATCTAAGCTTAGAAGTAAGCAAAACGGTTTACGTCGAGTACTACAAATGCGTGAGGTGCTAATACCTTCCTCTCACATAACCGACCTCCTTATCCGTTTCTCTTTCCTTTGAGCTTTTATCGATATTTTCTATGTTCTTTGGGACTAAATAAAGTTTGGTGGAGACTCTGTTGTATCTTTGAGTGTGTGATTCACTCAGGTATAATCTCACTAGCTTCAACTGTAAATTTAAAAATTTTGAAAAATATTTTTGCAAGTTAGTTTTATCTTTTCATACAGTATAGAGATGTGAGATATAACTGAGAAGTGACAGGTTAATTGCTCAATTCTTCGTTATGAAAGATGGATTAAAGGCCACATTAGAAAAATTGGAACGTGTAATGTCTTCCATGCTGAAATGCAGAGCTTATATCCAGGATTGAACATGGCTTAGCGAGAAAATATATCTCATCTCATCATAGAATGCGACTCTAAAATTTTTATCAACCTAATCTCCAATAATTACAAGTTCACTGGAAATATTCTGATTTTGCCCCTCCACATTCGTAATATGTTTAGTTTAAAATGATGTTTCGTTTGTCTTAAATTATAAAATATTGAGTAAGTTAAAAAACATAATTATTATTATATAAAAAAGAATAATTATCCATAACTTTATAATATTAAGAAATTTAAAAAATTAGAAGAAAAAATTTAAAGAATTAGAAGAAAATATAATAATATTAAATAGAAGGTATATTGAAAATAAAATCATTAATGCATTATAATTATATAAAGTGATTTATAAATTGAGACAAATTGTTTTAACAAATTAACAAGTATGTCTAAATCAATTATACTTGGCTCGAATGCAATAGAATTGCCGGCTAAATTTAGCATTTCTTAAAGGTGATTTAGAGGTTTTGAGTTTATAGAACCCTCTTAATGAACTTCAGAAACTCCATTTTAATAATTTATAAGGGGATCACATGCCTAGAAATTTAGCTCGTTTCTTAATTTTCTTTCTTTAGGTTACCTTATAATATGGACATCTTTACAAATTCTAGAATATTTGTACTTATTCATAAATTACTGAAATAAAATGACCTATCTTTACAAACTCAGATCAATTTTGTAACTTGTTGGTTTTCTTTCTTTTGCCTATTAACATTTGCAATAATTTGTTTTTGATAAATAAAGCAGTGGTAGCTTAAATTATTAATCAACCCATACACTTTTGACTTTTAAAATGCACCTTTTACTTTAAAATGATTAAAACTCAACTGATTAAAAACCAATTATTAGTAACAACTTAATTTTTAATTTTTTTTGTGTACATTTGATCGTTAATGTATTTAGTTCATATATATATATATATATATATATATATATATATATATATATATATATTATGAGTCAAATTTACTTAGAAGGTATACTTAACATTATTGCCGAGATTTAAATCCTGAACCTTCAATTTCTTTTAACCGTTAACTCAACTATTTCAAGTCATTTGAACTATCTATCCTACAATGCTATAGCATGTGAATTCAATATTTAAAAAGTAAAGATACATTATTTCTTTTCATTTTGATTAAAAAAAATCACTAGCAAACATGTCAGATATTATATCATTATTATTCCCTGTTTCAAAAATGCAACATACTTTTATATATATGGAAAGCAGAGGCAGTAAGTAACTAATAAAGAAAGAAGGAAATGGTGGTGACAAAAGTGACCAGAAAGTGTTGAATCAGTGTATCAGACAAACAAAACAGCAACATGGAAGGATCTTCTTCTGCAGATCTTCATCGTCATGAATCAGATATAGAGCTCATTGCTCCTGAAAACATCACAAAGTTAAGTGTTGCTGAGCCTAAAGCTGGCACCTATGTTGACCATAACAAAAAAGAAGAAGAAGAAGAAGTAGCAGACTATGTTGAGGTGACCATGGATATTCAAGGCGGTTCTGTTGCCTTACACAGTATGAAAACGATAACAGAAAGTGAGATGGGAGAGAGTGATCGCGAGAAACTGTGTTTGACTGGGAAGAGGTTGGTGAAGAAGAAATCTTTTGGTGCTTCAGTGGTTCAGAATGCTACTATTCGTATAAAGCAGCTGAAGCGTTTGACATCATTTGCAAAGCCAGAACCAGCAAAACGATTGGAAAGAACCAAGTCTGCAGTCGCTCATGCTCTCACTGGACTCAAGTTTATCAGCACCACCGATGTTAGTGCAGGATGGTCTAAAGTTGAGAAAGAGTTTGAGAAGCTTACTGCTACCACGGATGGATATCTTCCTCGCGCTCTCTTTGCAAAATGCATAGGTAAGCCAATTCTACTATATTGCTTCAAATGATATGATAAGAACTTTGGATACTATAACCAATGTTTTTTGCCGACAGCGACTATTTGAGTTGCATCAGTTGTATTTGACAGTAATTCTCTGCAATATCAAAGATTGCAACGATCAAGTGATTAAAAACTTTGATTATAAATTATGGAGTAATTTCTAAGTGTTTTTTTGAATTTAATTGTAGGATTGAATGCGGAGTCTGAAGCGTATGCGGAGAAGCTTTTTGATACTCTTGCTCGGCAGAGAGGTATTCAAGGGGGTTCGATTAACAAGATCCAGCTTAGGGAGTTCTGGGACTGTATTTCTGACCAGAGCTTTGATACTAGGCTCAAAACATTCTTTGACATGTAATTCTTTCTTTTGGTTAATGTAAACATTTTGTGGAATGCTTCTTAAACATATCACCGACATTTGATTTGGATTGCAGGGTTGACAAAGATGCAGATGGAAGAATCACTGAGGAGGAGATAAAAGATGTATGGTATCATAATATTATTATAGTTTTCTATCCGACATTTTTTTTGTTAATAAATTGTGTTTTATGTGATTCTGCTCTCAGATTATATGTCTGAGCGCCACTGCCAACAAACTGTCAAACATTCAGAAACAAGCGGAGGAATACGCGGCTTTGATCATGGAAGAACTTGACCCGGATGACACAGGATATATTTTGGTAATAAAAGACAAAATCTACACTGTAATGTCCATGTTAAAATAACTATTTCAATACTATAGAATTGTGACCGTAATTATTTGGCCTCTTTGGTAACAGATAGGAAATCTGGAGACTCTCTTGTTGCATGCACCTGAAGAAAATACAAGGGGAGAAAGTAAGTACTTGAGCCAAATGCTAAGCCAAAAGCTTACGCCTATGTTTGAGGAAAATCCTATTAAGAGGTGGTATAGAGATACAAAGTACTTCTTCCAGGATAACTGGCGAAGATCTTGGGTGTTTGCGCTGTGGATTGGTGTGATGTTAGGTCTTTTTGCCTATAAATTTGTGCAATATAGAAGAAGAGCTGCATATGAAGTGATGGGGCATTGTGTGTGCATGGCAAAAGGTGCTGCTGAAACACTTAAGTTGAACATGGCTATTATCTTATTGCCTGTTTGCCGAAACACCATCACTTGGCTCAGGAATAAGACCAAGCTAGGCACTTTTGTTCCCTTTGACGACGGCCTCAACTTTCACAAGGTAATTTTCGCTTCTGATTTTTCCCTAGAGAGTTGCAAGAAAATAAAATACACACATTGTTTTTGGATTATAGCAGCTTTCACAAGTGACAGGATGAAATTAAGAGTATTTTTGCAGATGATAGCTGTGGCAATATCGCTTGGTGTTGGGATTCATGCTATTTATCATCTTGTTTGTGATTTTCCTCGCCTTCTTCACGCAAGCAATGAAAAGTACAAGCTGATGGAGCCTTTTTTCGGACGTAAACCATCGAATTACTGGTATTTTGTCAAATCATGGGAAGGAGTAACAGGGATCCTAATGGTTGTGCTAATGGCAATATCCTTTACACTGGCCAATACTAGGTTCAGGAGGAACCGCACCAAACTACCTAAACCGTTTAACAAACTCACAGGTTTCAATGCCTTTTGGTATTCTCATCACCTCTTCATCATTGTCTATGCCCTCTTGATTATCCACGGGACCAAACTTTACCTAACTAACGAATGGTACAAGAAAACGGTTAGTAGCATCAGTAAACCCCTACTCTAGTCATTTATGTAATTGATTCAGACACATAATAATACTATTGTGTGCTTTTCTAGACTTGGATGTATCTTGCTATTCCCGTCACCATTTATGCATTGGAAAGGCTTACTAGAGCACTTAGATCGAGCATCAAGTCGGTGAAAATATTGAAGGCGAGTAACAAATAATTATAATGAAATATTATTCATATGATATGATATGAAGACACACATGTTTGTCTCAGTAAGTACTTTTGGCAAGTTCAGAAAGTATAAAGGTCTCATTCCATTTTCATTTCATTGCTAAATTTAAAGGTTGCTGTTTATCCTGGAAATGTGCTGGCGATTAATATGTCAAAGCCTCAAGGGTTTAGCTATAAGAGTGGACAATACATGCTTGTCAATTGTGCTGCTGTGTCTCCACTAGAATGGTATGTATTTGTTTTTTTGTTTTTTTTTTGAAGAAACATGTTCTATATGAAATATGCCATCTAAAAATCATCACATAACCTTAATTCATGAATTATGCATTTTACAGGCATCCATTTTCTATAACTTCTGCTCCTAATGATGATTACCTTAGCGTTCACATTAAAATACTTGGTGATTGGACTCGAGGTTTGAAAGACAAATTCTCAGAGGTGAATATTATTATTATTATTTTTTATATTTATATCATGTGGTGTCTTCTAATTAACAAACTTATTGTTTTTGTTTCTTTCAGGCGTGCCAGCCAGCCAACAATGGACAGAGTGGACTTCTAAGAGGAGAATGTTTGAAGGGAGATAACAGCCCAATGTATGGTTTATTGTTTTTGTTTTTGCAAGTAGGCTTTTTTCTTCTTTTTTAAATATGTGATGATAGGTAACATGCAAAAACTATAGTTCTGCTTCGGCACTTAACATATTTTAATCTTATAAATAATTGTTAATAGTTTATTTAGAAAATCTGACTGTGCAATAATTGACTATGGCTTTTTGAATGACTTTGTTTGAATATACAACAACAATACAATTTATTGAAGAACAAGTTATTTGATGTCATGTTGTTGAAACGGCTTTTAAATTATTAGTATTAATAGGGACAAAATTACCACCTTTTAATTATTGTTAGACCTAGTTGTTCATTTTTGGTAGTTTGCAAAGGGACTGATTATAAGATAGCAAGAGTGTATGCTAGAGAACTACCTTCATTAGTTACTGGATACCACAGGTCAATAACTGAAGAACGAGTTTGAAATGAATTAAGAACATGTTTTTTGTTTTGTTCAATTCCTTTTGGTTGTCAATTTATCGTTGCTGATATTCCAAAGGCAACTTGACACATGCCCTGTTTTTATAATCAAATGATTATGTTATTAAGGGGACAACAAGACTGACTGTTATCTTGTTTTTTTCTGGACGAGATGTGGTTGTCATCTGAACTTGAAGGGGGGGAAATATATTAGGGTGATAAAGACACTTTTTGAAAATTTATGCATATCATACAAACCCAATCAAATCCATATTTCCTACAAGTATCTTAAGGAGTCTATACTTTTTATTTGTCAACTTTTTTAAAATATTAATTGTTTGTTGTTTGTTGTTAAGTAGGGATATAAACCTATGACTTTTCTATCCTTATGTTGCTTTTGAGATGCATATTATCTTATGTTGCAAGTTTTAAGTTGTAACACAAAAAAGAAGAGATAAGATATACATTGCCCAAAAGATGTTTCTCAGGCGGTGATGATTGGAACCAATCATTCAAAGACTGATAAATTTCGTCTGCCATGCATATTAATTAACAATTGTTTTTCAAGTAATTGTATGTATATCCCTTTTATTGAATGACAAAATAATGATTGTATATTATGATTATGATATTATGTAGCACTTTCCCTAAAGTTTTGATTGATGGTCCGTATGGAGCACCAGCACAAGACTACAGGGAGTATGAGGTGGTTTTACTTGTGGGGCTAGGAATAGGAGCTACCCCAATGATAAGTATTCTAAAGGACATGGTCAATAATTTCAAAGCCATGGAAGACGAAGATGGGTTTGCAATGGAGGAAGGATCACCCGTGACAAACAATCATAAAGACACTCGGTTCAGTGACTTCAAGACAAGAAGGGCATACTTCTATTGGGTGACAAGAGATCAAGGTTCCTTTGATTGGTTTAAAGAGGTGATGAATGATGTAGCTGAGGAGGACAGAGGGGGGTTGATTGAGCTACACAGCTACTGCACCAGCGTCTACGAGCAGGGTGATGCTCGCTCTGCTCTTATTGCTATGGTGCAGTCTATAAGCCATGCAAAAAATGGTGTGGACGTTGTGTCCGGCACTCGCGTCAAGTCTCACTTTGCCAAACCCAATTGGCGATCTGTTTACAAACGCATTGCACTTAATCATCCAGAAGCACGAGTTGGTGAGTTCCCACTTCTTGAATGCGACAATTGTTTTTGTTTCTTTCTTTAAATTAAAAGTTAGTAAAAAAAGTAATCAATGATCGATATATGCTTTGGAAATTGGAATCCAAATTCAAAGATGCCTCTAGAGGGTTAAGTTAAACATAAAAAGGAAAAGGTCTGGTTGAAGTGAGGGTGATTGCTTTTTTTTTTTTGTCAACATCAATCATGCGTTTACCTTTTTTTGACGTATTTCATTAAAATTAAGCTTATCATCATATTGCAAATAATGGACATCATGTTTTTTAAATAATGCAGGGGTGTTTTACTGTGGGCCATCCACCCTGACGGACCAGCTTCGCCAGCTATCATTGGATTTCTCTCACAATACATCCACCAAATACGACTTTCATAAAGAAAATTTCTGATAAGATGAAAATAATTGAGGATTACGGTGAGAGCTAGTCTTCCACCAAGATGACTAAACTATAATCATATATTGTTTCCACCTTTCTGTCGATAACCTAAAGTGTGTTTCTACTTTCTACCTATCGTTGGGATAGCTTTATTTAAGGATCAAGATATACGTGGGGGTAAAAAGTTTGGTTGTGGGTTGGCTACCAAATACTAAAGTGTGGTAAGAATAGGATGGCCCCGTCAATAATGTATAAGCGTGTCGTCATGATTGTAAATTTAATACATTAAAGGGAAATAGATAACCACGGCAAGGATTTTTTGTTTTGTTTTGTTTTTTATTCATATTGTGGTCTCCCGATAAGGGACCAGGAAGAAAGTAAACGAGAAAGGAAATAACAAGATGCAGTGCAATTAATAGTTTATATTTTAATTGATTTTGTAATTATTTTATTTTATTTAGTATGTTTTATAAGATTGATGATGAGTAGATTTGAAGTAAAATTATTAATATTTAAAACTTTTCCGTTGTATGAAAGTTTTTATTATAATTTACTGTAAATTTGCAATCCAAATTCAGAAGTTATGTTTCATCACTTCAATTTAAATGAGTATTCCAACAATTATTATTTTGAATAATGGAAAAACATCTAAGTTTTTGCTATCGGCTATCCTAGTAAAGGTTCACCTGAACTAGTGACCCACCCAACCCAAAGTTTTCGCTATGGACAAATGAAGAGAATAAATTGTTGTAGAATATTTTTATGCTTCATCTCAATGCAGCTTGATGTATGTAAGGTCAATTGAGCAATGAACAAATACGAGGAAAGAGTAACTTGAAACATAGCTCTGAAGATAGAGTTTGTGTAAGTTGGGTATATAAATTGAGACTAGGCAGGAGATTTTGACTCTCATATCTACTTCTCTTAAGAGTCCCATATCAGACCCTGTTTTTGTATTACATACATGAAGGGGAACTAAGATGTGGCAGTCAGAATTGCAAATTTTTTTGCCCTACCATAAAGGCAAAGCTTATTGTTGAAATTTAAATTTGCAAGTTGTTATAGGTGAATTGAAGAGTTTTCTGCATGAGTTTGTTTTCATCCAATGTATTATCACAACCAAAGTACCATGCACCTTATCAAGACTTCTACATATCGTTCAAGATCAAAGCATATTGATATTAGAGTTCATTGAGTCGTGATGTGTTGAACTTCAAGTGATTAGATAACATTGTTACTAGTATGTTAACAAAACTGCTAAGCATTTTCACACTTCTGATTCCTTGGAAAAGATGTCCCGTGATTAGTTGTGAGTGCTATGGAGAGAAGTAGATATAAAAGTTTAACAGATTTTAGTAAGTGGAATCTTGAGCCCACTCAAAAAAATGTATGCATTTTAGCGCTTCCGATCCATTAGAAAACACGTTTCATGATTAGCGGGCTCTTTTTTAGCAGCAAAATAACTCGTGGGATGATAAAAATGGGAAAAGGAATGTCCTGACCTTATATACCTTTGAACAATTATTTTCATGAAACTCCGAGTTCCGTTCCTTTCATCTTTGCTTTCTTTTCTGCCTCTGGAAATTTGGTTTCAATAGCTGGCTGCTGATTATGACTTGTTCTGTATTTTGAGTTGGCTGGAATGGTATTAGAGGCTTCTTTGTAGACACAGTTTTATGTTTCACACAACTTTCATTTGAAACAGGAGAGGCCTTCTTTCCTTTCAATGGCCTTGGAACCTCCAATCTCTCCAAAATCCTTGAAGTTTCCTTGTCTAGCTGTCTATTACCATTTTGCGGTGCTATACTTGATTGATCCAACTTGGCTTTGGGCATGCAAGATGGAGAGTACAGCTTAGGCTCTTCATTTACAACCAATTGCTTCCATTCTTCTGTAATACAGGCCATGGTTCTGTCATCTTGATCCGTAATATCCATAGACAAAATTTCCTCATCCACAACAACGACATTATTTGCTGATTTTGCTCTCCCGATCACCTCAGATGAAGGTTGTTGACTTGAGCTTAGTTCAGAAAACGCACCATCCGTTTTGGGAAATACTGACCTACAAAACATAATTAACAAATAAAATACAAATCTTTGAATGTTTGGATGACAAACTAAATTTGCAACAATGATTCATTGAGAATAACAAGCCAAAAGAAAGGAAGTCTTGAATCAAAATACTAAGTCATCTTTTATCTTAAAGAAAATTAAATGCAAAAACTGTCAAATCTTGTAGTAAAAATGTTCATTCTAATAAAAAAGTCAGTTGCTAAATCTGGCAGCATCTGCTCAAAAGCGCTAGATGTTAATTCTTATATCTACTTCTTTTGGAAAAAAGGGTTTTGTTACGCGTATTCTCAAGTTCATGCATTGTCATTTGTTAAGCTGCATGCAGAAAGTAGAAACTCACCCCAATTGTAGGCTTTCTTTGACAAGCACATTTAGTTTTTGATGAAAGCCTCTTTCATGCAACAGCGGATCATAATCTGTTACATCAATCTGCAAGTAAATTTTGGTTTCAATACTCCATAAAATAAGGAACGTATTCAAGTTTGTAAATTTTTATGTGATTCAATTTGAATTCAAAATATAAAGTTTAGTCTGCAGAAGTTTGTGTACTAATTCTTCCAGTAATCCAGATGTTTTGACAGTCCATATTTCCATGGTCCATCTATCCCCACATATCAGACCATAATTCCACAACTCATCAACTACAACACCTGCCAAGCTGAAACTAACCAAACGACCCTTAATGATACCTATTGTAAAATATTTCACTGATAGAATTAAAAGTTCTATTTACAATGTTGCAACTACATGCTTTAAATAAGAGAGAATAGAAAACCTAATGGGTTTTGACTAATGGGCCTCATTACTAATACTACTAATTACTATTTACAGTCTAATATTTACAACACTCCCCCTCAAGCTGGTGAATGGATATCTATCATTCCCAGCTTGCAAGTAAGTTGTTTGAATCTTTCTGTTGGTAAGCCTTTTGTTAACACATCTGCGAGCTGATGTCCAGAAGGAACGTAAGATGTAGTTATCAGCCCACTATCCAACTTCTCTTTGATAAAATGTCGGTCAATCTCAATGTGTTTAGTCCTGTCATGCTGAACAGGATTATGAGCAATACTAATAGCCGATTTATTGTCACAAAACAATTTCATAGGGCCTTCACACTGTATCTTCAAGTCTTCTAAAACTTGTTTCATCCACAATAGTTCACAAATTCCTAGTGCCATAGCTCTAAATTCTGCCTCGGCGCTTGATCGAGCAACTACACTTTGCTTCTTACTCTTCCAAGCTACAAGGTTACCACACAGAAAAGTACAATAACCTGACGTAGATCTTCTATCACTCACTGAGTCGGCATAATCCGCATCATTGTAAGTCTTCATAGCTAAATTCTCACCTCTTTTAAACAAAAGTCCTCTCCCTGGAGTTGCTTTAAGATATTGTAGGACGCGGTCTACAGCCTGCAAATGTCTCACCCTCGGATCATGCATGAATTGGCTCACCACACTGACTGCATATGCTAAATCTGGTCTAGTGTGTGCCAAGTAAATCAATTTTCCCACTAATCTCTGATATTGACCCTTGTCAACTTTGTCACTTTCCTCCTCAAAGCTTATCCTGTGATTTTGTTCAATGGGAACACTTGCAGGTTTGCATCCAAGTTTGCCAGTTTCCTGCAAAAGATCAAGAACATACTTCCTTTGAGAGATAAAGATGCCTTGCTTTGAGTAGGCTACCTCAATTCCCAAGAAATACTTGAGTTGTCCAAGGTCTTTCATCTCAAACTCTGCCGACAATTTCTCTTTGAGCAAATGTCTCTCAGTCAAATCATCTCCTGTAACAATAATATCATCAACATAAACAAGAAGTACAGTCAATTTTCCTTCCTGTGAATGTTTAAAAAATAAAGTGTGGTCTCCTTGACTTTGCTTATAGCCCAAACACACCATTGCCTTTGTGAATCTTCCAAACCATGTCCGAGGGGACTGCTTTAGTCCATATAAAGCTTTCTTCAATTTACACACCTTGTTAGCTTCATTTGTTATGCCAACACCCGGTGGAATCTCCATATACACTTCTTCCTCTAAGTCTCCATGCAAGAATGCATTTTTAACATCAAACTGTTGCAATTCCCATCCACATGAAGCAGCAAGAGATAGTAAAATTCGAACAGTGTTCATTTTTGCCACTGGGGCAAATGTCTCCTCATAATCAATACCATATGTCTGAGTATAACCTTTTGCCACTAGTCTTGCCTTGTACCGATCAAGTGTGCCATCAGATTTATACTTTACGGTATAGATCCATCTGCATCCAACCGGCTTTTTGTCTCTTTGCCTTTCAATAATCTCCCAAGTACCATTTTTTTCAAGTGCTCTCATTTCCTCATCCATAGCTTGGACCCAATTTCTATTTTGCAATGCTTCTTCAACTGATAATGGGATTTTCACAGAATCAACAGCTGCAATAAAACTTTGATATTGTGTGGAAAGATGTTTAGTGGAGACATATTGAGAGATAGGGTGTCGATATAAGGAGGGACAAGATCTTTTATCCTTCCTCAAAGCAATGGGTAAATCAACTGGATTAGTGTCACAAGTATCAGAAATAGAACAATCATCATTTGAGGAATCATTTTCAGTACTTACCTCCGGTTCAGACGATTGAATTTGTTTCTGGAGAAGGTCAGATTTACTTTTTCTCTGATATACTAGAGTTGGTGCTGAAGGTGTTGATTCCTGTGGAACATAAGGCATTGAAGGACCAGGAACAATTACTGACTCAGATTCAGGTGTTGAACTAGGACTCAAACTCAAACTAGGTGACAACTCGGGTTCAAGAGAGGGAACACTGACAGGTGTTCTCGGGAGGCTAGGACCAAGGATCAGAAACTCGGACTCAGACTCTAAGTCACTCATGTTCTCCCCCTGAGACTGAGAATGAGTGAAGTATGACACATTTTCATGAAAGGTGACATCTTTGGAGACAAAGAATTTCCGACTCGGAGGATGATAACATTTGTACCCTCTTTTATTGGGTGCATAACCCAGAAAGATACATCTGACAGCACGGGGATCCAACTTGTTGCGATATTGTTTGTGAACATGAACAAAAGCAACACAACCAAACACGCGAGACTCAAGATTATGTAAGATAGGAACAGAGGGAAAACGTGAGAGCATAAATTGAGCAGGACTAATATTACCTAACACTCGAGATGGGACCCGATTAATCAGATAGGCAGCAGTAAGAACTACCTCCCCCCAATAAGAGGTGGGAACAGACATTTGAAACAGGAGAGATCGAACAACTTCAAGTAAATGACGGTTTTTTCTTTCTGCGACACCGTTTTGTTGTGGGGTGTCAACACATGTGAATTCATGAAGAATGCCATGTTTACTAGTGAAGTTGGAGAAGGTATGATTGACATATTCTTTACCATTGTCAGAACAAACTCTTTTTATACATTTCCCAAATTGTGTTTGTACCATATTATAAAATTGGATAAATATTTGTGGTACTTCGGATTTAGTATTCATCAAGAAAATCCAAGTTACCCGAGTACAATCATCAATAAATGAAACAAACCATTTTGCACCAAAAATATTAGAGGTAGGGGCAGGTCCCCAAACATCAGAATGAATCACATCAAAAGGTTCAGCACTTTTATTAAAACTGGAAGGAAAAGTTACACGATTGTGTTTTGCCAACTGACAAACATCACACTTAAAAGACTCAACAAAATGGTTTAAAAACAATGACGGAAACATAGACTTAATGATATAAAATGGAGGGTGACCGAGACGCTTGTGCTGAAACCAAATGTGTGAGGCTGAAGAGGAAGACTGAGACTGGAGACAGGAGGACAACACCTTTGGATGGTCATCAGAGAAGTAGTATAACCCTTCCTTTTCCTTAGCAATTCCAATCGTCTTCCCCGTGGTAAGGTCCTGAAAAATACAATGGGACATAAAAAACGTTACTTTACAATTTAGATCACGGGTAAGCTTATGGATGGAAATCAAATTGTGGGAAAGTGTGGGAACATGAAGCACGGATTGCAATTGAAATGGAGGTTGCAAGTCAATATTTCCAGTGCCAACAACACAAGCCTGAGAGCCATCAGCAACAGTGATATAAGGAATACTCGAAGGTGTGGTATAAGAGCATAATAATGTGGAATCAAATGTCATATGATTAGTAGCACCAGAGTCAAGAATCCACGCATTCTTAGGGATATTACCACAAACAGTAAAAGATCGGGAACACAAACTCTTACCGGTAACTGCTAGAGACCCAGAACCAGAAGGCTTACTCATGGAGTCAAGCATAGACTTCAACCGTTCCACGTCATTCTGGCTGAAGGAGGAAAGATCAGTTCCCTCTTTTTCAAATCTGTCAGTATCATGGGCATGTGTGACAACATGTGCCTGATGCTGGTGCATGTTGCGAGCACTACCTCCTCGGCTAAGAACCTGTTCCCTTCCATGTAGTTTGAAACACCTATCCTTTGTATGCCCTGATCGGTTGCAATGCTCACAATAGAATTTGTCACGACCATTCTTAGATGATGACGATGGTGGTCCTTGTCTTGTTGTTTTTCTAGCTACTAGTGCTGACACATCCAGGGGCTGTTCATGAAGCATAGTTTGACGACGGGTCTCCTCACTACGAACAGTGTAAAAAACTTCATTAAGATCAGGAAATTTTTCCTTACCCAAAATCTGCACCCGAATGGGGTCAAATTCAGCATTAAGGCCAGCTAAGAAATCAAAGATCCTATCCCGCTCAACAACAGTATTCAAGGTGGCAGTATCCTTGCTGCACTCCATCTTCAAATTCTGATATTGATCCAACTCAATCCAAAAACCATTGAGAACTCCAAAGTAATCGTTGACCGAAAGACTTCCCTGCTTAGTGTTGAATATTTTCCTCTTTAAATCATAACAAGCAGACATATCTTGTTTCATGGAATAACTTCGACGAAGATAATCCCAAACTGCCTTTGCACTTGAGAGATACATGCAATTTCTACTAATTTCTGGAGATATGGAGTTCCAAAGCCAAGTAATAATAGCAGAATCATCTTTATCCCAGGAAGAGAAATTAGGAGCAGTAACCAGAGGAGGATTGCCTTCAATATGATCTAGCATGTCACAACATTTTAGAGTGTGTCTAATGAACTGAGACCATTGAAAATAATTTTTTCCGGTAAGCCAGTAACCTTTTTGAACGACAAAATCCTTAGCATTAAATGGGACTGGTGGATTTGTGGGAGGTGGAGGCAGAGGTGGTTGTTGGTTAATAATCTCGGCCATTGAAGGGACAATCGAAAGGAACAAACAGCAGATATGTATTGAATCACAAAGAAAAAATACAAAGAAACCAAAAAACATTTCACTGATAGAATTAAAAGTTCTATTTACAATGTTGCAACTACATGCTTTAAATAAGAGAGAATAGAAAACCTAATGGGTTTTGACTAATGGGCCTCATTACTAATACTACTAATTACTATTTACAGTCTAATATTTACAACAATACCCATGATGCTTACTTCATTCAGGAGCAGAACAGACGCACAAATGTTAAGAGGTAAGATGGTTGGATAGGATAACATACCTAGATATAAAAGGATAGAAGAGAAGCCATAAGAAGGCTCACATATTTTTAACGAGAGTATAATATTTAAGGGGTGCCAAATAAGTAAAGGAAAAATTCATTCTTTAACCCATGTCTTTAGGAACAAGAATGACATACAAAACGGTGCAACCTTTGGGAGAGAGTGATTGAGGAGAGATTAAGAGGAGAAAATCACGTCACATTAAAACAACTTGATTTTATGTTGTTAGTAAAAGGTCCAAGGAACCTTGGTTTTCAGATTCACCACCAGTACCAGACTTCAATTTATGTGCTTTAGCTGGTAAAAATTGGGCAGATTGTTCTCAAACTAGACATTCTGTAAATGGTTACTGCACTTCCTTTGGTAGCAACCTGATCCACGATTGTTCATTCTAGTGCCAGGGACATGTCTTTTGCTAAATTGTCACTACCAAATTCACCCAGACTTCCTTTTTCAGTAGAAACATTGGTTTTCTTCTGCTAGATCAACCTACATTCTTATGTGACAACTTGTGTCTCATCTCAAAGTTAACTCAATGTTTGATTCCCACTCTAAACAATTAACTTGACTTACTTTTCGTTCGTAAGAAGTGTTTCAGGATTGTAAGTCACCAAGTTTGGTCCACCTGCATTGCAATTAGCAACCATTTTTAAAACCCCCTTGTCTCAAACAAACTTCCATTAGCTGCAAACCAAAGGCTAACTAACCACCAGTCTGTCTAGTTTAAAGGACGTGCAAATGAAGGTGACTGTGCTTATCCAATAATATCTTAATATTCTGTTTTTTTTTCTTCTCGTTCTGTTATATTTTATTCTGTTGATAAAGTTTATCTCCTATTTTAGAGTATCTAACTTTTCTATTTAATAAACATCTTGACCATCTTTGGAGTTCAGCCAAATCAACCTTTCTTCAATCCTCTACAGTGAACAGGCAATATTTTCTCAGATAAATTCAGATATGCAGAGCTCCCAAAACATTGAAGAAACCTAAATGTAAAATTTTATGCACCGGGGGTTTTCTTATTCTCCACAAATCATCCCCATAAAATAACACCCACATACAATTTCTGGTCTGCATCAATAAGTCAATCGAAGGAAAAAAGGAACAAAAAATAGGTAAATTTCAGTGTAAATGTTTAACTCCCACCTTAAGCAAACAGGCTTGAACAGAGTTCTCTACATCTTTATTGACCAATGGATCAATTAATTGGTTGTCAGGAGCTTGTTTGACTTCTTCTGCCCCTGCAAGGCGCTGCATGATTTATGGATAATGAAAAGTGGTGAATCATCATCAATGTGTATGTTAGGAACCCAATATATGTTCTATTGCATTGTAATGACACTACATGGTTGCTGTTATTATACTATGTGCTAATGTGCGGAGACGGAAATTAAGAGGGATAAAGAGCAAAAGTTAGTTCTCACTCTCATATGCATTGGTCCTTTATCTGACGGCTGCAGAATGTAATAACAATGATAAGGAGCCTCTGTCATTGTTTCTAAATCACAATTTGAAGAGCATATCAAACCCTGGTCCATTGAATGTAGAACACTAGAAAGGCCTTGAAAAACTGTCAAATCATAGCCATGTTAGGAAAAACGATAAACTTTGAAGAATTTGACCAATAAAAATTGAACAGCAACAATTCAGCAAAAATGGATACTACTACTCACGTTGAGCATTCATGTCTGACTGATCAGCGTCATCGGAATTGGTTTCGATCACGTGATAAGACGATGCAGTCACGACAAATGAAGCCCCCAATATTAGACCTGCATTAAAACTCAAAAATCAGAAAACCAATTTTTTGTAGAAAACCAGAGAGGTTAAGAACAAGACGTTGGGTGCACCAATATTGCTTAATCAGTCTCAATAGTCCATCATAAAGAGGAAAGAAATCGGTATGAAATAGACTTTAAAAAAGTGAAGTAAAAAAGAAAAGAAGTGAAAGAATGGTGTTTTCTTTTTCTCCCATAGGCTATTGATATAAATGTCGGACAGATCAATTTGATCATGTAAACACTCAATCAAGCAGCAGTTTGTCCAGGTTGCATTTTAACTGAATTTAAAATAACAAACAGATTCTTGTTGCATACTACTATTAACAAAAGTTATAAATGAAAGGCAATAAGTAAATGCACACCTTCATCAAGAGAAGCCAAGTTTACCCTCTCAGTAACAGTTACATTGATTGGTGAATAAACTGGCAGGAGCTTCAGTGAATTATGGAATGAGGGAAGAAACAAAATTGTTTGTTCCCCAACTCGAACAGAATTTTCATTAACATCACTTGTTTCCAGATTGGAGCCAGTGACTGGACAGGAAAACATATTGAGTTTTTTTTCAGCATTTCCTAAAGGAATGCCATGGCATCTGCATGTCTGTAAATTTCCAATAATCAAGTATTGTTCCTTTTCCTTTAAATGAGTTGAACTCGTTATTATGAAAGAAAAAGAGGATTATGGTGTAGAGGGCATTCGAAAGATACAATTATTTTGGAATTAGACCAATAATGAAAATAACCAATTGAAGGTGGAATTAATAAATGAAACGATTTTTTGTAAGAATGTTACTGAAGGTTTGACATTTTCTGTTCAAAAAAAATTTCCTACTGTAAAACTAACTATATATTTATAATCAATCATGTTCAGCGTCTCCCGTTTGCTTCTGGAATTGACATAACCAAAATTGAGCAATTGATTTCTCCAACAACTATACACAATACTTACTGTCTATATAGTTGTGGAGATAGCTTTTCTAATCTAAACAACCAACATAAACACACTATTCTAAACAAAAATATACACATCTACCAAAAATTGGGATGGTTAGTAATATTCAATATAGATTGGACACTCTATTACCTGACATTGACTGAAGCCGTTAGCTATTGGATTCACCGGTGGAAGCAGGTTGCAGAATATATGGTTCACAGAATCTAAAAGTTTATCCTTGAAAATGAGACGTGCTTGCAGGGGCTTGTCCATGTCATCTTTCAAATACTGCAGCCATCTTTTAACCATGCCGTTGAATGATCTGAAATCTGCAATGTTTTAGACAATTCCCCTAAATTTCTTAAGTGTGATTTTAGAATAATAGTCTACTGATTTCATGTCATTTTTTGTTTCTGTGTTTCTCAAAGCCAGTGCTATGATGCGTGTTTTTTGCACATGATCTAGTTCTATCAAGAGAATCGCAAAAATAAATAAAAAACTTAGGGGTTAAGAAAAACTTTAGAAGCATAAATCATTCATTTAAGTGGAAGAAAAATGGAGTATATCGCGTGTAAGTTTAGTAAGGGTATACTAATTCTTCCTTACAGACAAAATTGGAGATCATTTTATGTCGCAAATCACTTAGCCAACATAACTTGGATTCATTGTACAAAATGAGGAGGGAACAGACAGAGGTTTTAAAATATCGAATTAAAACATGATGAAGCAGAAGAGTGTTTTGCATACTATTGTGATAGAAAAGTACCACTTCAGCTTAAGGAGATGGTTTATCTAGAAAGTAGTAAAATGTGTGATGCTGTATGGAAGTGATTGTGAACAGTAAAGAACCAAGAACAAAATAAGTTCAGTGTTATAGAGATGATAATGATACGATGAATATGTGGAAACACAAGATGAGATAGGATTAGTAATGAATGTATTAGAGAATGTTAAGTAGCTCTTATATGAGAAGAGATTACATAATCTCATCTTAAGTGTTTGGTTTGGGCACTTTCGTGAGAAAAAGACTTATAAAAGCTTTGAACAAAGATGATTAAATCAGACGAAGAGTAGTTATTAGTTAAATAGTAAAAGATAGGAGGAGCTAAGAGAAACTATAGGCCAATAACTTGTCATTAGACAGAACTTACGATAAGACATTATGGTGTCATTTGTTATGTGTAACTAACTCTATCTAGTAGGATAACTTTTCTAATTGTTGCTATTGTACTTCTCAAAGCTAAAGCTCAAACTCCATATTAAAAAGCATTTGGAAAGAAATTAATTTTGGTCAATACACATTGTGAGAGTTCTTGACCTGTGATGTAGGTCTGAACTGAGCAATTATCAAGATGAGAAATGCAACGACGGAAATTGTTAATGTTTTCACGCGAATCAATCAGATGACTTGACTTCGGCTGAAATACAGCAAAATCAACTGAAACACATTTATCTGCAGCATCCTTTCAAAATGAAAATAAAAACAAATTTAATATCCTTTAGACAAAATTGAACTACACAACTCAAAGAAAACAAAATTCATATCATGAATACAAACGCTCACCATGAGGCTCTTCTGCATTACAGAATCCACATCTTCAGGCAAGATTGAAGTTATGACTATCACTTTTCTCTCAATATCTTTACCTTGCCAAGAATACAATACTCGTTCGCTCAAAACATCTGAAATCATTACATCTGCAAATCAACCACCAAAAAACTGTCAATGCCTTATTCTCAACCGGAAAAAAGCAACACACACAAACACACACGCATACCAGATACGTTATCCATATCAAACACATAGGCATCTGATGGCAAACTGTTAACAGCCTGGTGAAAATCGCGCAGGTTGAAATCTCCCACTGGACGGTAAGCAATCATCAACTACATTACCAGCAAATTCACTCGGGATCATAACACAAACACATCTAGTGCATTTCGAATTTATCAACCTAATCGCAAATTGTAAAAAGGTTCGCAGTACCGAAACATTACCTCGTCAGAAGAAGTGAGTCGATTCTTGACGACATAGCACAAACCGATTCTATCACTGAGAGTAGCAGATTTGCGCGAAGACGAACTCGAACTCGAAATCGCGTAGAAATTAACGAGTTGAAGTAGTGACTGAAAACGAAAACACAAACGAACAACGAAAAATCGTCGATCTACTAGGAATGATGAAATTGCGAGGGTAACTTCATGAAATCGGAGAATATGAAGATTATAGGGAAAACAAAATTGATTGAGAATGTATGATTATGAAGCTCTATGTACCTGCTTTAGGTCTCCTAGCAATGGAGGTGCCAAGCTTCGAAGATCAAGAACGAAACACAGTTGAACCATTTTGCGTCTCCAACGATGGCTCTCTGGTTTGGCGCGAAATAGAATTTCAAGTCTGGCTGAGATATTTAAACTTGAGGAGTGGTAACAAAAAGTTTGAATGAAAACAGTGGCGAAGCTCCGAAGTTCAACGGAAAACAAACTCAAATACTCAATAGAAAGGAACATATTTCAAGCATATTCGATTGTAAGTAAAAAAAGTTAATATACAAATTTAAAAATTTAGCTATGTTTAATTATTCTTTTTAAGTTTGACGAATGAAAGGCAACAAAATATTAAAGTGGCACAATTTCTATAGTATTTGAGATTAAAGGTTATGTAACTACCATGAATTATAACATTCACTTATATTATATTAATATTTCAAAACTCAAAGTGTTAAATGACAGATACATATTTCAAATTGAAAGTGTAAAAATATTTTATACTTTTAATATTTTTTTTTCTCCTAATATTTTGTATTTGAACATTAATTATTCTTAGTATTACTTTAAAACTTTTAAATTTCAGAAAATATAAAGTTTAAGATTTTGAGTTTTGGACATGTTTAATGGGAATTTGAGTTTTTTTAATGTCAATTTGAGTTTTTTTAAATAATTTTTATAATGTAACATAATTTTGCATAAGAAAGTTTTATAAAGAAATTTTCACAAAAATTTTAAATAAAAATTAGGTTTGAACATTTATTTTTTAAATATTATTTTTGATTTTTTTTAATATTAAATTTTTAAAAAACAAACTATTTAAATAATTTTTATAAAAATAATATTTGAGATACAATTTTTTTTTAAATTGTGATTTAGACTATATTTTAATCTTTAATAACATATGTTTATGTTATAGAAAGTCAAAATTAATTTTTCAATTTAGAAAAAGCGAATAAAATTTTATTTTTAATATTTTAAAAAATAGTTTTAAAAAATTTATTTTTAAAAATATAAAAAAAAATCTATTTTTTCTAAAGTTGAAACAAACAAAATTTGAATTTCAAAGTAAACAAAAAGTCTATTTTGTTTTGGATGTATTTCTTATGAATTTGAATTCTCTTGTAATATTTGATCCGATAGAATTTTAAAGTTTGAATTAAAAATTCAAACAATGTTATTTGTGTATTCTGTGTGTTTTGGATAAACATAAACTTTCTTATAATATGTAGTCCATTCGGAGTTTAAAATTCAGTGTGTAAGAGGCATTGCAAAACATTTCATAAGATTCATGTGTAATACTAAAGTTGTAATAAAGTTGTATTTCAACTTTATGTATTTTTTTTCGAAAGTTACTCAAAGCTCAATTTAAATTTTTTTCCACTATCAAATATGAAGATTATAAAAGTAAAAGTTAATTTGAATTTTTTACTATAGATTTAACGGTAAATAATGTAATGTTCGTTTATCACAAGTTCTAAATATTATTCTTTATATAATTTGTTATTTAGTCCGGAAGGTATTATGAAAAGTTTATTAAGATTGTTTTAACATTGCAATTACAACTTTCAATATATAAAATATTATTTATAAAAAAATGACCAGATTAAAATATCTTTAATCATATTATAATTTGTTCTGATTCATGTAATGTTAATCACAAATATAATTAAAATATTAAAAAAATATTATAAAACAACAGTATGATAAGGTGTCATTATAATTTTAAATTTGAACTATTACTTCTCCTCCTGCAACATGTTTGAAAGACAAAAATATACAACAAAAAAAAAGTAACAACTATTGTTCTGGTCTGGGCCCAACCTCACAGTTCAGCCCAATAACGCACAAGACCCATTAAGTGGACTAACTCGATCGGGCACACGCACCCCCATAGGACGGGCAGGGCACACTCTCCGCCGGGATGGACAGCACGTCCTGTATCGTCTCAACGTCCCCTTCGTCGGCCGAACAGGGCACCCTCAGTCCGTCGAGCAAGATCCTTGGTCCTCCCACGTCCTCGCGTGCTCCCCTCCGCGAGGAGAACAACATGCCTCCGAGGAACCTCCCGAGCTCCCCTCCGCGGGGAGAACAACGTGCCCGGTGCGCGTCCTCCACGTGCTCCCCTCCGCGGGGGCACGTCATCAACCAACTGCCCACCTCCGAAAGAGCAGGTCAAACCCACTTTCCGGAGATCACGGGACAGTTGGACTAGGGCGAAGACCACGTTCTGGTCTTCACTACGCCACGTAAGCCCTAGCAGTCACCTGGGTTGGGCCTGGCAATCCAGCCCAACTCAAGTGACCGTTGGCCCAGCGTTGGGGTCTCTTTATAAATACCCTCCTCCACAAGAGGGTCAGGTAATTCACATCTTGCCCTTTTCTGTACTTTGCTCTCACTCTGCCCAACTCCTTACTTTGGCATCAGAGTGTTTTGCAGGTACACCCCCCTTTCTCCTCCTCATCATCGGTGAACAGGTAGCAGTCCAACAGCGTGTGGCCAGCCCGTGATCCCCTTCTGATCAGGTCAGATCAGTGGCGCCGTCTGTGGGAACAGAAACTTCCTCGTTACTCCGAGCAGAAAACCAAAGTTTCACCAACACTCCACGATCATGGCTAGCCCGCACCGCGACGACACTCCACACGACCTTGTGCTCAACGTCGCCACCAAATGAAACAAGCAGATGGAAACGACGCGTCCGGCGGAAACTGACGAGAGAGACGGCCAAACTGCCTCACCGTCATCCGCGGAGCGGCTCCTTCAGACCGACCACCGGCCCCCAGGCCCGGCAGCATTCCAACCCGTTCCCATCCCGGCGGGAGCGGACCCAACGGTGACCGCCCTCTTTACGACCATCAACCAGACGAACCAGCTGCTGTTCCAGCAAAAAGCGAGAATTGGAGCATTGGAACGCGTCGGCCCTCCGAGGTCCCCCCCGCGGGAAGACCAGAACGGAGACTCGAGAAGTCCCTCACCTCGACCCAGAAATCGCCGACCGCGGCTGGAGAGACACCGCGCACAGGTAGTGCGAGAACGCACCAGGTCCCCAGCAAGACAAGTTTGCGAGAGGCACCAGAACGCTGCGGCGATCCCGACCAGGGATCCTCGAGGCGAAAACCCAGGCAGGAGGTCGAGAACCCGAAACCAGGGCCCTATTCTGAACGGCTCGTCTCCCCATCGGTCCCCGGCCCCCAGCGACGAGGACGATTACCGCACCCCGCTGTCCCGAGAAATTATGGCTGCCCCCATACCCCAAGGGATGGAGAAGCCCCCGACGCTGTCGACGTACGACGGCACATCCGACCCGGACGATCACCTAGAGGGCATCGAGGCCATGCTCGATTACCGAAACGTCCGGGGGGCTATCAAATGCAGGCTCTTCCCGACGACTCTGAGGAAAGGCGCCATGACCTGGTACAAAAGTTTGGAGCCCGAATCAGTTACGTCGTGGAGAGTCCTGAAGGACCTGTTCTCCAAACACTTTACGGCGTCCCGGCGCCACCCGAAGACGGAAGCCGTCCTCGGGGCGATAATCCAGGGCCCCGACGAACCTCTCCGAAAGTACATCGAAAGATTCACTCGGGAAGCAGTGCAAGTGACAACGTCAGACGAGATGAAGCGCTACTTAATGGAGCAGGGTCTACGCCACGACTCCAAGTTCTACGAGGCCGTAGGCATACACCGGCCAACCTCCCTCCAGGATTTCCTCGACAGAGCCGCGCATTATATCCGATTTGAAGAAACACAAGCGGCCAACTCCGCTTGAGACACTCGAGACAGGGAGGCCCCTCGCGGGCACCGAGATGACGGAGCCTCGAGCCATCGACGGGGAGGTGACCGCCGTCGCGAAGATCGCCCCCGCGAGCCCCGCGAACAACGCGAACCACGCGGCCCTGCCGGCCGATTCACAGAGTACACGGCCTTAGTCGCTTCCCGCGAGCGCATACTGGCCGAATGCGCCAAAACCGAATTCGCCCAAGGAGGTGTCTGTTTTCCGCGACCGACACCCCCCAAACCCAATGTGGACAAATCAAAATACTGCCGATTCCACAGGAGCCACGAGCACGTGACAGAAGACTACATCCATCTCAAGGACGCGATCGAAATTCTGATCAAAGACGGTCACCTGAAGAGATACACCCGAGGAGGCGAACCACCGAGGCAAGAGGCCCCAGAGTCCAAGAAGGTCCAGGAACTCCCCTCTCTAGAGGACAACAGCAGGCTCCAGGTCGCACTTTGTGTCAGCCGCCCCGAGGATTGGTTCGCGGACAGAGAATTCGGTCTTCCTGAAGGACCCGGCCTAATCGACGAACCAATCCGACCAACCAGCCGCTGGGAATACTTCGCCAGAGCCATGGTCATCTCAGATGGAGCCACGAGGAGCCTGTCCATAGGATCAGTGAAGAGAAAATTCGACGAGCTTATCGCGAACAACTCCGGAAAAATGAGCACGCTCGAAAAGTTCCAAGGTCGATCCAATTCGATCACCTTCTACCTCGAGGAACTCCCCGGGGGATCCCCCAACTCCAACATTCCCATGCTCGTACGTGCGCGGATGGCGAACTTCGAAGTCAGGCGCCTCCTCGTCGACGGTGGAAGCTCGGTTGACATCATGTACACGCACTTGTTCACAACTCTCCAACTCGACGAATCCAACCTTTCCCCCTACGTAGGCTCCGACCTTCAGGGGTTCAACGGGACGACGACGAGACCTTGGGGGTACGCAGAGCTGAAAGTCACCTTCGGAGAAGAGGAAACAGCCATGGAAATCAGCATCCGCTTCTTAGTCATCGAGTGCCCATCCCTCTACAACTGCATCCTGGGCAGAACAACGATAGCGGAACTCACCGCGGTACCCTCCACCGTCCACCTGAAGATGAAATATTACACAAAACGGGGGGCCGTGGTGACCCTTAACGGAGACATCGAGGCCGCCCGAAGGTGTTTTGAGGCCGCGCTAAAAGGTTTAGACTCCATCGCTCCAGCGACCAAGAGGACAACTCCAATCGTAGCACCAAAGGGCAAACCAACGAAGCTAGTCGGATCCGTGGAACTCGACAGTCGCTTCACCGAGGAGC